CCCATCATGCCTCATTGCTGATTCTCATAAGTAAATCTTGTCCACATAGTTTCCCATGCAGTGTTGACTGATGCTTCTAAGGATCAAGGAATCAACAACGACACTTGTGACATGGTTTGATAAAGACTGTCTAAATGTGATGAGACAATCAATGTGGTTGGCAAATCTCCACAGTGGGTGGATGGCGTGCGGTCCTTGTTTACTTAAAAGCAATGGAAATAAACACACGGAAAAGCATTCCATCCTTTGCCAAAAGGGGGGAAAAACCCACTCACCCCATGATACGTTTAATAGATTCATTTCACTAACAAAGGGAGTTTGAAATAACCCGATGATAAATTGCTGTTGGTGACTTGGTACAGGAGTTCAAATTGAAAAGCAAAGTAACTGTCAGTTCAAATTAGCTTCATTAATTGATTCTATAATTTGATCTACTTAAGTGTTTCTTTTGAAATCTTAATACATCCTTTTAAATTACTTACAGAGTGTGGGCTGCTGTGAAGTTGTAGCCATTGCAAAAGTGAAAAGAAAATATAGCAAGTTAACCCGACGGGCTGGTAATATTTCTACCGTTTACTGTTATCAAAATACATCAGTAAGATGAAGGGCAACGAGGCTTATGAAGATTACAGAGGAATAACTTTGTTTGAAACAATTGCTTCAGAATGCATCTATTGACAGAATATATGATTAGGTTGAAAAGATAAGAGAATCAACATTGTTGGAAAGAAAGCTGCTAATAATTTTTTTTAAAGGTGCATCTTAAGAAAGTATTAGCCGAGCATACAATTATATAAAGGATATGATGAATGTATTCTTAAAATTTCTGGTGTCTTAGAGTGGCTGAGGAAACCCAGCCAGATGGGCAGGGTATAAATAATAAAATTATTATTTTTATTATTATTAGACTGGGATGGGGAAGAATTTTCAGGCTGAGGGACAAGCTTCTGAGAACCACATGACCATGGTGGGTGATAGTACTGGCAAAATTAATGTGGGGCAATGAATAGGACCATTATCCACTCCACCCTCAAATCTCTCTGTCCAGACAAGCAGGAGGCATTATCATTGTTCAAGGTCAGAGCCAAACAAAACCATTTGATAAGGGAGTGGAGGAGGGCTGGGAAGCCGTGTGGCCATGAGAGAGTCACATAGGCCAGTTAAAAAAGAACCGGATGGCCATATTTGGCCCCAGGCCTGAGGTTCCCGACCTCTGCTCTGGTCTGTATGCTGGTATTTTTTATTTGCGTTGATAGGAAGGATGTATCTTTATCATCTTCTTCCACTTCACATACTTAAGTTACAGTGGTACATCGGGTTAAGTACTTAATTCCTTCCGGAGGTCCGTTCTTAACCTGAAACTGTTCTTAACCTGAAGCACCACTGTAGCTAATGAGGCCTCCTGCAGCTGCCGCGCCGCCGGAGCACGATTTCTGTTCTCATCCTGAAGCAAAGTTCTTAACCCGAGGTAATATTTCTGGCTTAGCGGAGGCTGTAACCTGAAGCATATGTAACCTGAGGTACCACTGTATAAGTAAGTTAGCCAAAATTCAGACCACAGTTATTTACGCACACACGCACAGAATAGAAAATAATGAAGCAACGGGACGTAAGTGTGCATAACTGCGTGTGAGTTAATGGGGTTTATTGGTAAATATATACATCATGACTAGGGATTTAAGACTGATCCAGAATGGATTTGGATAGAATACTTCAGGAATCAAACTGAACATACCAAAATGTAGTTGGCAGCCAATGGCCAACTACAGGTTTCTATAAACAGTGATGCTTCTCTACCGCCCATCATGTTTTAACTACCTGAAGTGTGAAGCTGTTTTCAACATGGGAAACAGCAAGCTGATAAATAAATATATGGGGGGGGTAAACCATTACAAACTTTCGATAAATTATCTGTGAAAATAGTCAGTAGTTCCTGCTTTTTAAATAAAACAAGTCCCTCGTTACCTCAATTGCTTCATGGCTACCATGGCAACAAACAGGAATATAAACAGAAGACCCTGCCATACTGCAATTATAACGCCATGGCTGTTCAATGCCACCATTACATATCCCCCTTAATAAATTCTGCTCTAATATTAGAAGCTGCTGGAGCAAAATACACAACTGCTTCTGTGTAGAGAACACAATTATCACCAAGGAAATAAAGAATAATACGGACAAAGGTCAGATCTTGCCTAATTGACCTCAAGATAGGAGGACAGAATGTCAGGTAATGCAAAAGATGTTACACTCCCCCACACTTATAAATAAACTTAATTGGCTGGCATCGTGACCGTCAAACACGGAGTGGTTGTTAAGACTTTCTTCTCCTTCATGGACCACTTGAAAATTGCTGAGGGACTTGAAGGACTACTTAAATGATTTTTCTGCCTGTTGTAGCAATTGTAATGCGCTGGGCAAGAGCCTGCATGACATTCAATTGTATTTATATTGCTTCTTTTATTGATTGTATATTGTACTTTATTGTATTACCATTTGAATTCCTCAGACTTCAAATTATAGCACAATAAAATGCAATATAACAAATAAAAGAACCAATAAAAGTGCAATTAAATATCCATATGAATATTTAATGCAAGGAATGTGCCATCTCCAGTCTTTGTCCACAAATCCATAGACACCTTTCAGATCATCTAAATAAAGCAGAGGTCCATGGACCAGTTTGGGAACCTAAAGGATTTTTTTTTTAAAGCCAGCTATTTTTTTTAATTGAATTATATACTGCCCTATACCTGGAGGTCTCAGGGCGGTTCACAGAACAAAATCAAAATATAAAACCACAAAATATGTAATCAAAATAAAACTACCCAATAACCCCCCCCCCAAAAAAAACAACCCACAACCCACCACATTTAAAAAGGGCATAGGATGTCAATCAAATCAACCAAAGGCCTGGTTAAAAAGGAGCATTTTTGCCTGGTGCCTAAAGATGTATAATGAAGGCGCCAGGCGAACTTCCTTGGGGAGAGCATTCCACAGATGGGGAGCCATTGCAGAGAAGGCCCGTTCTTGTGTTGTCACCCTCTGGACCTCTCGAGGAGGAGGCACATGAAGGAGGGCCTCAGAAGATGATCTCAGGGTCTGGGTAGGTGCATATGGAAAGAGGCGGTCCTTGAGGTATTGTGGTCCTGAGCCTTTTTATAGGTCAAAACCAGCACTTTGAATTGGGCCCAGAAACTTTAATTGGTAGCCAGTGCAGTCAGACCGGGATCAGTGTAGTATGCTCAAAATGTCTTGCTTAGGTGAGCAACCTGGCTGCTGAATTCTGCAATAGCTGAAGTTTCCAAACCATATTCAGAGGCAGCCCTGCATATAACACTTCACAGTAATTTAACCTAGAGGTTACCAGAGCATAGACAACAGTGGCTAGGCTCTCCCTGTCCAGATAGGGACATAGCTGATGGAAGGCACTCTGGGCCACTGAGGCCACCTGAGCCTCGAGCGGCAGCAAAGGATCCAAGAGTACCCCCAAGCTACAAACCTGCTCCTTCAGAGGAAGTTTAACCCCATCCAGAGCAGGCAATCTCCCACCCGTCAGGTCTAGGGAACCACCCACTAACAGTGCCTGAGTCTTACCTGGATTGAGCTTCAATTTGTTGGCTCTTATCTAGTCCATTACCGAGGCAAGACACTGGTCCAGCACTTCCACTGCCTCACCTGCAGATGTAAAGGAGAAATAGAGCTGAGTGTCATCAGCATACTGCTGACAACACCCCTGGATAACCCCACCTAATGGGGTGTTAAACAACGTGGGTGATAGGATTGAGTCCTGTGGAACCCCACATTGAAGGTTCAATGGTGCTGAAAAACATTCCCCAAGCAACACCCTCTGGGAATGACAATCCAAGTAGGACTGGTACCACCGCAATGCTATAGGTTGTATGTGTGGAAAGGATGTTAAATGCATAGAGCCATTTAAAACAAAACAACAACAAAACAACAACAAACCTAGGGTGATCCATGGTCTTGGATTTCCAGTGCTAAATTGAAAAGCTATTTCTGAATTGCAGGACCATAGTGGCTTACTTGAGCCCTACATCTTTAAGGCCCTATTTTCCACTCACGAGAAGTTTCATTTCTACTTTGGCTTTGGCAAACTAATGAAACAATCCACAGATCTTGTCAATGTTGCTCTAATACATTCATTCTAGGTTCAGCTTCAAGGGGGAATTTTTGCTTTTCATCTATACAGTGTTATTTGACTACAATATGAGTTCATTTCATATTCTTAAAAAAAAAAATTATTGACCTACATTGTTATTTTCACCATCAATATTTACTGTTTCTTACATTGTTTGGGGGTCCTGTTGATCTGGTTTATGGATTCTGAAGCCCATTTTCCTGCCATTATATATGATCTTGACAGCATGACTAGTGATCACAACTCAATGAAAAACAGCCCCAAATCTTACACTGGACTCTTGGTTCTACTCCCTCTGGAATATAGCTGTGATGGAGAAATTTACATATAATCTGATATTTTGACACGGACTAGAGCCCTCAAACACGTTTTCCATGATTTGGAATTCCTTTAGTTACATATACACCAGAACCATCATTTTCAAGACAACCATCAGCACAAGCCTGACAAATCTGGAACTACACTTGGCAACCAAATAACCCTAACATTATTTATTTAACTCTTATCCTTGCTTTTCTTGCTTTCTTTTACGACCGCACTTTGTTACCTAACCCATACGCAACTGTATTTATTTTATGTGCCTGTTTTATAGTTCTGCTTTTTTATGTTTTAATTTTCACTGGTTATTAAAATTGTTCCCTCGGCTTTGTATACATTCTAAAATGAAATAAAAAATCATTTACAAATAAAAGGGAAAAGAGTCCCTGCCCTTTAAGAGAGTGTATTTTTTTAGGGGGGCTCAGGGAAGAGAAGAGCGAGCTTTCATTCTTCATAAACTTCCTTAACATGGGTCCAATCCACAATCCCTGAAGTGTTTCCTCTTTTTCTTTCTTTTTAGAACTATGCAGCGACGCTGTTGCAACAAACTAACCCAAAGGCACAGAACTCTACAAGTCATCCTCGTTTTGGGTCCCACCTCCCAGAAGAAAAGCTTCATGCCCTACGAGATGAGCAAGTGGGGCAGCTCCAGGAACTGATGCAAGAAGCTACCAAACCCAAGAGACAGTTTAATATTTTGGATGACACAGATCACAAAAATTGACGTATTACTTTGGATATGCTTTAAGTAGGGTGGTGGGGTTTCTTGTTTTTGTTTTGTTTTTGGTGACTCTTTAGCTCTGTTTTGGAAGAGATTTTCAGCCCGAAGAATAAATGAAACTGATGTTCACCCTTTCTGTTTTATTTCAGCCTCCAGCGATACGTAGGACAAATATTTAGAAATACACATGGCCCCATTTATATTCATTACAGCCTAGCTAGTATTTAGAATAAAGGAACATTTTGGTTGTGTTAAATTTGTCAGATCCTGGGGCGGTGGTAATAGTGCAGGGATTAAAACTAATGTGTTTGTGCTAAGACTGGATTTTCTGGGCAAAGAGCCCATTAGTATATATTCCCCAAATGGTTGAACAGCCCTTCCCAGGGAACTCTGGGAAGTGATGCTCTGGGAGGGGAATAGGGGTCTCCTATCATCTCTCAGAACGTTTAACAAACTGCAACTCCCAGAATTCTTTCGTGGAAGCTGGCTTCTGCAGTGGGCATAGCAGAAATGATCAGTGATTTGTTTTGAATGATCTTATTCAGAAGTATGTCAGTTTGTCAGAAAGCTGCATTAGTTATAAAAATACGTATGTTTGTATATATATAATTATTTTGTTGATCTATTGTCTGCTTTTTCACTCCATTGATCAACAGTCCGTGGACAAAAAATAGCAGTTATATCATTGAATCCATGACCGCACAGTTTCTTACATAGGAGTTCTGCTCTAATACTGATGTTAAAAATGAAATTCCAACTCTACAATTCTTTGATTCTACGGCATTTTAAATCTTCATCTTCTGGAGTAGCTAAGACTCCAATATCGGCGTTTGGAAGGAAGAATCTTTGGGTCGTCATTATTCTGCTGAAGTTTTATGTCATGGCAGCTAATGTTGGTATTAATTTTTCTCTCTTTCCTAATTACAAAAATCATTACATCTGTACTTAATTAGCCTCATATTTTTGTACTAATTAACGTTCACATGCCATTGACTGCTGTTAATGCCTTTTTTGGATGGCGGCAAACGACATTTTTCATTTATTTATGTTCAGTTTGACTACACTTTCTGCCTCCTAAATTTGTAGCGCAGCAGGACACGAGCCCCTTTCAGGCATTCCGCATGTGCAGGTACCGAATGCATGAAGTAGTCAGTGAGAATGAGTGGATAGCTCTGCCCCAAAGGCCTGTACCTCTAGCAGGTGTGTGATTGGCTTCAGTCTGAAGGGGACTACATACATACATATATCAGGATGGGGAACCGAGTCTATCTAGGTTCCCAGCCCCATGCAGGGAGGCCTAGTAGACTGGACACACATGATATATGGATGATATATCTGCTACAATGTTTTGCAGTAAATGTGCCTTCCCTCAAGATCCCCACTTCTGTCGTACAGTATTGCCTCTTCCTGGAACAGAAGGTTGTATCCAACTAAGTTCTACTCATTGAACTTAACTCATAACCGATTGAACTTAATGGACTTAAGTTAGTCATCTCCATTCATTTCAGTGGGGCTACTCTGAGGATGACTAATATTTGGATAATGTGATGCTTCCCCAAGTCCTTCTGTTGTTGCTGTTGCCCCAGTTCCTTCTCAGGCAAACGAGTGAGTGAGTCAGTATGTTCTGTAGGATAACTTAGAGCCTAACAGCAGGTACTCAGACTGGATCCAGACTACAGGATTTATTTGCCATTATGAATAAGAAAGATGTTTCTTTGTTAATCATTCTTCAAACCTTTGCCTGCAGTCGCGTTCTTTGTTAAAGAGCATAGACGACAATGACGTTAAAGGTGCGTAAATACAGCATCTCTATTATTTTGATGACAGTCTTTGGCATCAGGCGTGAACAGATCAAGGTCCCAATCGAACCTTTTTAAGATTGACAGATGAGGCAAGATGAACTCTCCCACTCACTGTGCTGAAAATGAATAGCAGGTGTGGGCTGGCGCGTTTTCGGTCATGATGACTGCAACTTTGCTGCGTGGCTGCCTTTATTTTATTTTGAGAGCTCCACAAATTGTACTTCTCCACCTTCCAATTGTCCTTTACTTCCCTGATAGCCCCGTGGTGAGCCCAACTGTGTGAAGATTTAACCAAGGTCTTCATGGTATGTTTTGAGTGTTCACCGTACAGAAAGTACCTTATATTTTTCATATTAAATGTAGCCAACCTTGTACCCTCTGGTAGACTACAACTAGGGCTATTTTTCAGCCAGAACTCACCAGAACTCAGTTTTGGCACCTCTTGGGTGGGCGCCATAAGAGAACAAGGAAAGTATTCATGGTGAGTTCTGGCACCTCTTTTTCTAGAAAAATAGCACTGACTACAACTCTCATCAGCCCCAACTGGCATGACCAATGACCAGGGATGATGGCGTGGAAATTGTAGACTAAAACATCTAGACTGTATAATGTTATATGTCCAAACTATAGACATATATGAGGCTTGCGTGACACTTGTTAGCTGCAGGCACCCATAAAAACAGACACTGGCATAATATCCTAGAAGCAATAATAGCAAAGCAGATATTAGCAGAAAGCTGTAGCTCAGTGGTAGAGCTTCTGATTTGCACACAGAAGGACCAGGTCCAATGCCTGCTATTTCCACATAGGGCCCTGAGCACATTATTTGTATCAGTACCAGACTTTTTAATAATGTGGTCCATGTCACACCCTCTTAAGGATTTCCAGTTATCTAACTATTATAACCTGGTTGCTAATAAAAGCTGGCAAAATGCTGAAAATGCAGGGTCATATTGTCCATAAGTAAAGATTAAGGTAAAGCCAACTCCGAGCCTTTTGTTATATTTTGTTCAGGTATCTCTCTAATTTCCTTGAATGCTGCCTCCCTGAATGTGGCTACCTTTTCACAGGTCCACCACACGTACCCACTCCATGAAATTGCAGGGTGAGTGGGCCAGACAAACTGGAGTGAGGTGCCCCTTCTGCAGAATTTTCCATGCCCTCTCTTTCATAGAGGCTGACACTGATTTGAAGGGAAACTTGCCCCACATGGCAGCCCAGTCTGCCTCTTGGATAGAAGATTGCCAGTCAGACTACCAGATAAGTCACAGCCCATTAGCTGCACCCAGGTCCTGCTGGAGTAATATTTTATGTATATATCCTTTGAGACCGGCCCATGGTCCAACCTTCAGGAATATTTTGAAAACAATGAAGTTCATCTGCATTTTGAAAGTCTCATCTTTCAACAGGGAAACGTTCAAGCACCATGTGCCGGAGGATTTAACCACATTAGGCATCGGCATCACAAGAGAAACCAGAGCACATGATCTGAAATAGCAATTGTATGACTATGATATGCAGCAGCATATTGAGATAAGGAAGAGGCGGCAAGAAAAAAAGTCTAACCAAAAGCAATTTTGAGGCATTGACAGGGAAAATAATAATAATGACCAGCTGGAATGGAGACAGCTCTGTCTGTTGGCCCAGCTACACATTATTTTATTGGACACATCAGTGCCTCAAATAAAATATTGTGTATTTAGGCCAACAGACAGCTGTCTCCATTCCAGCTGGTCATTATACAAATAATTATGTAAGACTAATATTTGCTTACATTTATTTGCCTCCGTTTACCTCTTGTCCCCCTGCCACTTCCTTTTAATTTTGTGTTGTGCCTAGTAGGTTGTAAGTTTGCAGGCCCCAAATTTTAGGTGTTTTTAATATGAAATTATTAGTAGTATTAGTATTTCTTTTCACCTTTAAGTGAAATAGGCACATTTCTGCACCCACAACCAAGTGTATAAAGAAAATTCATCCTGTTCCTCATTGCCACTTTGAAGGCTGGCAGAAGTACATTAGGTATTGTCAGGGGCTTGTTGTATTCTTATTGTTTGAAGTGTTGGCCATCCACAGCATGTCACAAACAGCTTTTGATTTTCCCACCCTGTTTTTAAAAAAGCAATTTTCACTGTGACAGGTGGGGCTATTCTTGAAACATAAGTCCAAAAGTCCTCCCAAGGGCACTGAACTAGTAATGCCTATAAGTCTATACCAATATTATACAAATCCAAGGAATATAGATTCCTCCATGACTACTGTAGCCTTCTTAGACTTTACCAACTGGTGGGGTCTGCGTTGCTCCCGGGAGGGAGAAAGGAAGTCAAATGACACCGAGGTTGATTCAGAGAAAGAGTTTATTCTGCTCTCCGGATAGCAGAAGGCACTTGCGTGGTCAGTTCACAGCAAGTCCAAAGAAATGAGAGATTCCATGCAGTATATATATCCTCCAGGCACCCTCTCCCCCTTCCCCAGGAATCCAGCCATGTAAGCTTATACACGTAAGTTGACATCACAGATGTTCTTGCTCCTGTACTCTTAACCATAAAAGGGTGTTCCTGTTCCTGTACTCTTGACCATAAAAGGGTTTCCTGTTTCCTTGTCTTGGGGTAAGAAGGTCACCAACTCTAAGAGTACTCCTGGTGCCGTTCCCGGGGGGCTGACAAGGTCTGTGCGTCATTGTGGTCAGGATGTAAGATAAGACCCAGATGTGTCATCCCTGCTCCACTTTGGAACTGACAAGGCCATTCATTAGGCATCACAGACTGATAAAGGAGAGAGCTTTGTTTATACAGCTGTGTTCTTGTTATACATTTGCTCAAGAGCTCAAGTTAATGGTTTTTAGCTAATGCACCCTTGGAGAAGGAAAAATGGGATTTTGGGGCCTGTTTCAGACTGACTGCACATTCAGATTTTAGATTTGGGAAACCCATTCCTTCACCACCAGGCAGAAGTGACCAGGGAATGCTCTGTTATAATTAGGACATTCCGTACTTTATATTGCCACAAGTTCAGAATGACATGCAAAAGATCTGTTTATTGCACATTCTTTTTTCTTTTTAAAATATATTTCTATTAAAGATTTCTTAGTTTACAAAAATATGCGCATTGTCCTTTTTCAAGTTGTGTTTTCTACAGATCAACTTCATTTCTTTTTAATTTCTTGTGAGACATTATGGGATTAGAATTTCTGAGGGCATATTTGCTTGCGGCTCAGGTCAGCTTGACCTGATTTGCTAGGATGCATCTTTACACACACTTGATAAATCCACCTACAGCAACACTGATAGTAAATTGAATACAGTGCAATTAACTAAGGTAAAATAATCT